GAAGGTCCGAGACGATCCGATGAGCTTGATGAGCGATTCGAGCACCATGGTGACTCCATTGGAATCGAAAAAGGCCAATTCTATCCGCCCATTAGACTTTGGTGTTCAGACGATCTCCATTAACGGAAATCAGAAACGTCTCAGAGTCGGCAAAAATTTTAAAACCGTAAGTCCTAATCCTAACTATAGATTCCGCTGCGTTAGGATTTATTATTCAATAGATTTGAATGTGCACATTGTCGACGTTCCTAATAGAACCCAACAACTGGTATCAGAGCCAGGCTAATTCGACTTTGTGCACTATTCGAATTAGGGCTTGCGTGATATATGTGCATTAATTGTGTACAGACGCAGCGCATAATAGATTAGAATTGCAAATAAGTGTGTTTGAGGGTTTTCTTGAATCCGACTATTATGGCCCGCATGTATGTTTGTTTTTTTAATTCATGTATGTCGTTTTAAAAGCATCGAACATGTCGAGGATTTTTGGGTTGGTGAATGTTTGTAATAATTTATTCGCGCGGTGGGACACCACATAGTTTAAATGCTTTACTAGATCATTCATGTACGACCCCTGCGTAGGCCATAGGATCAATGTATGTAATTATATTATGTAATTGTTCGTTGGACCCGGTGAGCGCGGACATCTCTCGACGAGACGAGGCAGGCTACCCCGCGAACCCGTAGTTGATGGGATACGTGGTACTGTGCAAACGCAGACATACTCGTAGGCAGCTTGCTGTCAGATACGAGCATTGTTAAGGTGTTTGTAGACGGATATGCACGAACCCAGGTCAACAGAAGTACGGGCGATGGCGGCAGTAGGCACACGCCAACAGAGGAGACTCGATGGCGACTTTCCCGATGACGACTTGTTCAAGACGAAAAGTGGGAGTCACGGCGAAAAAGGAAATTCCAAGTCCTGAATCGGAAGACCCAGTTCAACAAGGACTAGACTGCGTTTCCCGAAAGATTGGAGATTGATTAAAATGGCCATGATAGTTGGATCTTAGTTCCTCATTATTATTGCCTATTAATCATGCATGTCCTAATGTGATTTAATTGCTCTATGTGCAAGTTGAATTATTAGGAGCATGTTTAAGAAAATCCCTTTAAACTAAAAATTATATTAAGTGTGTAATGGGTTGAAATAAATTACATCCAAGGCCTCCATTATAGGTTTGTCAATGAAGTGATTTAATTCGAGCCCATAGGAAATTTTATTTCACGGTTCACAAGGACGAATCTCCTTCGGGATGGTTATAGTGAGCTATTTCAAAAGCGTACGGGTCACCCAAAGGTGGACGTATAATTTTGGTAGTAAACTTAGTACCAAGTAATGGGTTACGCTTAAAGTGCAAATAATTACGATAGTCCCAAAGGACAAGGTCGTTTTTATTCTTTTAAAAAGATTGTTCTTTTAAAAAGGTTAATTGCGCTGGCCAAAAGATGAAACCGACTATTAGTTGAGTACTGTTGGGCAGTATGTCAAGCTAATGGGATTTATCCCTCCTCTTGCGAATTTTTAAACCGTAGACGTCAACACTCAGTGGCCTGCAGGGATTCGGTGTTTTGAGGTGCCGGTGAATATATTCAAA